TCCACCTGACGCGTCATCTCGCTGCCACACTTAACTTAGTATTATGCTTCTCGTTAATGGCCAACATTCAGCACCATAAAGCATTGGCAGGCCTCACTACCACATTATTAGAATTTTCCCTTAAAAGGTTTGAGGGGTACATTTCTATCACATAACAAGCCAATGCATTCCTCCACTTTCAACCAATCCACTTGGAATTCTGCGCTAATAAGTATCCCCATCTATTTCACCATCACTCTGAACAATCAGATCCAAGATATCTAAACGTTGTACTTCTTATTAATGACTTGATCGCCCAAAGTCACAATCCCCTTACTATGTCTATTACTACTAAAATTACACTCCATAGACTGGCGATGTTATATGTCAATAAAAAAATCATTAATATCTAACTTGAAAATAAAAGAAATAAATTTATTGATATGGATATATGACAAAAATAAAAAGGATAAATCAAGGAAATATTATATTAAAGGGTAGTTTTGTTGGCTATAAAAAGAATGAATTGCCAAAGGGATGCAGTGCAAAAGAAATACTTTGGAGTTATATGGATGAATGTAAAGTAAATGCAGATGAATTTTTTTTATTTGGTATGAAGTAAAATGAATGTAGTGTAAAGTACAAAGATGGTGCAGCTATGTTGATCTCTGTATAAAGAACCGAAGGAGAAGAAGGTAGAAAACATGCGTACTTACTTAGTATCCATCGGATCCACATATCCCGCTGCACTCGTATCACCTCCCATAAATCCCGCTGAAATACCTGCGTAGACGGCGCCGTTTGAGTCGTAGCTAGTAGTTGTAGCGGCCAGGGCAGTGGTGGTCGACGGCGGTGGTGGTCGGAGACCAGTGGCAGCATCGAGGGGTGGGCGGTAGCGGTGGTGGATGGTAGGGGGTGGCAGTGGTTGATGATGGTGGGCAGTGGCAGGTGGCGATCGTCAAGCAAGCTTGCCTGTGGTGTAAACGGTTCTTTCTCAAAACTGGGCGAGTTTAGTTTATCTCAAAAATGAACTAAAATGATTTACACTACATTTACTTTACTTTGTATTCATTTTTCATCCAACCAAATACCAATATTTTTAAAATCACTGCATTTGAAATACTTTACACCAATTTTACTTCGAACCAAACAGCAGCTAAGAGAATAGTGAAATGACATCTATTAAAGATTAGCTAATTGAAAAAAAAAAGAATAAATGGATTTGGACATATATATAATAAAAGATAGAAAATAAACCATTAGATGATCAGATAAAATTGATGTTAAGAGGAATAGGAAGGAGTAGACCTATGGTAAGATGAATGGCGATGCAAAATACCAAACAAATCATTATAGCAATCAATGGATACCTCCCCTTCGAGGAGTAGCTTGGTTAGAGAAGTGGCTTCAACACTTACCTTTTTTTTCCCTTGATATTGTAGCTCATCTGGCATTATTAATATAGTATGAACAACAAGCTTCTTCTTTACTTCTATGGTTGTTTATAGGAATTTCAAGTTGACTTGTGTTAGATCAGGTCCCTCCTGGATCGGTCCTGCAGTTACTTTCTTGGACCGGCTCTTGGGGGCAAATTTAGAGGGGACTAATTAAGAAATATTTTCTAATTAAAGAATGATAGATTTTGAGGTTTATTTGGGGACTGATTTGGAGACGAAAATAATTAAAGAAATAGGGCAGATTTGGGAGGGAATTGGGGGGCTTGTCTTAGATGAGGTTCCTTATTTACTTCTATGGCTGATTTGGGGACTCGTGTTAGATCAGGTCCCTCTACTTCTATGATTCATATCAAAGTTGTTATTTTTTACTAGTAGAGCTTAAATTTGGGCACCTATGCAAGAAAAAAAGGAAGAAGTATTGGAATGAGAGATCGCACAATTGAAATCTGAAATTTTCGATATCCAAACTCAAATTTCAGATTTTAAAAGTAAAATTTCAGCCGGCCAACGAGAAGAATAATTAAAACATTTCATCAAGGGCCAACCCAAAACGGTGTCGTCGGAGGCGAGCGAAGCCACCGGCAACCAAGGAAGTGGGGAAAACCCTAATCCAATAAAGAGAAGGGAAGATCAAGAGGAAGATTCTAGAGGGATAAGAGAGAATGCCTTCCCTAGAGCCTATTCCTAAGGAGGAGCTAAGTAGATGGTATGGGGAGAGGCATGAGGAGGTCAAACATGAAAGAATGGGTGCTGAATTTGAGAGGATATGGGCGGAATTTGAAAGGGGAGGGATTAATTATAATCGAAGAGGTACTGAATTTGAAAGAGGATGGACTGATTATGATTTAAGAGACAATGAATTTGAATGGAGAGGGGCTGATTATGATCCAATGGGTACTGAATTTCAAAGGAGAATGTGAGAATTTGACGAACGGTTTGGGTACAAGCGTAGAAGAGATGATTGGGACACCTAGGGAGAACCAGCTCCTTAGGGAATGAGAAATTATGGAGGAAATAGGGGGAATGGAGGAGATCCGAGGAAGATGCCTATTTTTGAGAAAGATGAAGCACATGGGTGGATATACATAGTGGGAATGTACTTTACCGTCAATCGATTGACGGAGGAAGAGAGACTGACCGCAGCCGGGATGTGCTTGGAGGGGAAAGCGTTGGCATGGTACCAGTGAAAAGATACGAGGCAACCCATACAGACTTGGAGGGAGTTTAATGATTACTTATTGGAATATTTTCGAACCAGTGGGGAGGAGATTTCTATGAGCAGTTCTTCACTCTAATGCAAGAGGGAACAATGGTGGAGTACCGTGAGCAATTTGAGCACTTAGCCAACAGATTGGACCAGCTTTCGAAGAATGTACTAGAGGGAAACTTTATGAAAGGGCTCAAACCAGATATTCGAGTGGCAGTTATAGTGATGAGGCCTTGTGATTTGGGAGAGGCTATGGAGTTCCCCCAGTTAATGGTGGATTAGAGGCACCTGGAGAGAAGGACTAGAGGTAGCAGCTTAGGAGATTCGCACAGGATAACCACAACCTTTTTGGTATTCAAGGAGCCAACACCAGGTATTCTTAGGGAGACTTCTAATGAGAAGACTGTAGGAGGAAGACCTAGGAAAAACTTCAAGAAACTCACAGAAATGGAGATACAAGAGAAGAAAGCAAAGGGGTCGTGTTTCAGATGTGAGGAGAGATATACACAACTGCACAGCTGTAAGGACCGAACTCTTAAAATTCTCACTATTTGTGATGACGAGAAAATTGAGGGAGATGTTTTTCCACCTTGCAGACAATGTGGGTCTTTGGGAGGGGGGTATTGTTAGATCGGGTCCGTCCTGGACCGGTCCTACCAGTCTTTTCCTGGACCGGCTCTTGGGGGATGATTTAGAGGGGATTAATTAAGAAATATTTTCTAATTGAAGAAGACATATTTGGGGTTGATTTGGGGACTAATTTAGAGGAGATTAATTAGAAAATATTTCCTAATTTAAGATGGAAGATTTTGGGACTAATTTGGAGGGCATTAATTAAAAAATATTTTCTAATTGAAGAGGGCAGATTTGGGACCTGATTTGGGAGGGAAGTAATTCAAAAAATAAGGCAGATTTAGGAGGGAATTTGAGGAGGGCTACTTGAGTATTTGTTGTTTATTGTATGCTTTAAATAGGAGCTTTTCCTAGGGTTAGGGTTATGTGTTCTTTGTTGAAATTAGATTATTCTTAGGGTGTTTGGGCTCTAGCCGGCAATTGGAGATTTGGGAGAGCCGGATCTTCCTCTCCAATAGAAGATTCACTTGTATATTGTATTTCTTTCATAAAACTTTCAATAAAAAGGCATTTTTTGTGTTTTATTCCTAGTTTTTTTATTGTTGGTTTTCTAAAATTGTTGAAATCAAATAACCATAGGCATACTACCCCTTCTCCTTCCTATTTTTCTTACACAAATTTTATCTACTTGTCCAATGGATGCATTTTTTACACTTATCTTCAACTTAAATGTCACTACAAACATTTCTTTAATGAATAATTCCTAATTTATCTTTTAAAGTTGTCACAAACCTAGCATAATAGAGGTGGTGGTCGAACTATCTAAATAAAATATACAATTCAAAGTTTGGTCCCGCTTCCTTCTCTGAATTTGTTAAAGTATAAATTTCTAAGACATTTCTTCATTTTAACCACCAAGTCTTAACTTTAAAAGTTATATCCTCACCCATATCATCATTTTACATGATATATTCAAAATAATTAACTCTATCATTTCAAAACATCATCAAGAGAGGTGTGAAAAAAGAAGGGAATAAAGGATTAAAAGTGACAAATGGTAAAAAGTAGTTTCAAAATCTCATTAATAGAAATGTCAAGATATTGCTAGTAATGCAAAATATCCAGATCAACATGATTGTTTTTTTATTTTTCATTCATTATTCACACATCAAAGTGCACGGTGACAGAAAATGCAAAACATGACATATTGAGCAAATGGAGAAGCTGACAGATGCATGGCGTACATTGAACAAAGATGCTATAGACCCTCTGTATACTCTAAAACCGACCACTAGCAGAATGGTGCCCAAAACAACAGCTAGTAACTTGGAAGTTTTTAAACACAGATATGGTAACTCAATAAGCTTATTCCAAAAACAGTTTACAGGCATCTCCTTGATCAATTGGTTAGGTGTTTTGGCTAAAAATTAAGAGATTTTGAGTTCTAATCTTGCATGTGTTGTGTGTGTGAGTCCGGACATTGCCCCTTAATTCTCCATATATATATAAGTTCAAGAATTTTTAACTTTGCAACGTTTTAAAGTATTGGATGGAAAAATTATGGATTTGATGTAAACTTCAGCAACCGTCCAGATTCAAAGTACGAACAAAGAAGCAAGCAAATTAAAACGCGCGGAAACCTACCTGTTTCATATGAAAGGGTGTAGCAAAGCAAAATAGCAATCAAGATACCAAGCCGTCATATGCAAGATATCAAACCCAAAAGCTAGCTCCGTAAGGGATACATAAAACATAAAGCAGCTCGTACAAAATCCAAAGCTTACGTGTGTAGCGTGGAACTGTAGACGAAAAACCACTTTCACTTTAGTCTTTTCAATCTTCAACTTGGGAATCCGCGACATCGTGCACGATCAGCTAATTATCAGCAAAAAATTGCACTTTTTTCCAATTAATGCCCTTTCCTGTATAACGAGCCAAAGATCATCACCCTAAATTCCCTTTCATTGAAATCAGTACAGCAAGTACAACCCAAAATTTATCAACTGCTTAAATTAAAGCAGTAAAACAAAGTGTGCTCTTGAAGCAAAGAAGCACCTGAGAATCAGCGGAACTGGAGCAAATAATGTAAGCATTTTAACCTACAATCCTAACCAAAGCCCGGTTGTATCTTCCCGAAACAACCACAGATGTCATAAACATCCTGGAAACAAAAGAAAGAATGAGAGGGGGAAAAAAACTAAAAAGATGTACCTGAAAAAGTATAAAATTGTTTTCGAAAACATAGCCGAAGATAAAGAAGATCTAGCTCGTACTCCGCCAAACCAAACCCGCATACAACACAGATTCATCATGCGTCAGAATGAAAACGAGGTTCCAAAAGAGTGTCGTCCAAAAGCGCAGAGATTCATCACATCGAAACCCTAGCACCAACCAGACGGACTAAATGGAAAAAAAAGAGGATCGAATGCCACTAATCGAAAGCAAGACAACAAGCTTGAATGTCAGGTGCTCATACAATATTCAAGAAACCGATGCTTTCAGCTGCCAAAAAAACAGAAATGCACCTCCAGAGCACCTTTAACACAAAATCTAGCAAGAACCTCAGTAATTTGTCATCAAACAAAGCAGAATTCAAAAACCACACCCTAGAAACAAGCAATATTAGCAAGCCAGTCCATAGAAGCAAAAGGAAAAAGACTCTGCCAATAACCATGGAATGGGCCCAAATCGAGAAGACATAGCGACGTCGGTCAGTGGAGTGAGAAATGGTCGCAGGAGTAAGCATTCAGAACGGATCTCACCTACTCCTGGATCTGCTGCTTGCCGTTCAAGCGAAGCCACACCAATCATCATCAAGAATGCCCCGCGACAATCGTTACCAACGACAACCGAACTACTCACAATCGATCGAGAGCTCGCGGTCGAAATCTCGCCATGAAAGAGATAATTAAAGATCGAAGACGGGAGCAGAGAGAGAGAGAGACTAATTTGGGGGTTGGGGAGTTTAAGAAAAAGGGCATCCCGCCAAACGTGGGATTTTCTTTTGATTAAGCTCCAGATATCAAATTTATATTATATATTAATAGAAAAAAATTATGATTAAGGGCTTGAGTTGTTCAATGCTGAGTAGCTGAGCTGGGCGCTGGTGTAATGAATGTTTCTTTATATATTAACTAATCTGATGGTGATCTGACATGGATGGACGGTTGAGATGGTTTTGGATGGGTGTAGCGCTTGCTTCATTCTTACATTGCTATAATAGTTTAGGTGACCAAATCGTGATGGCGCGGTAGCCTCGGAACTGAGCCAATAATTGAATTTTCGGTGGGGCTAAAATGCTCTATTATTATTTTAAGTTCTTATGTTAAATAATATCCAAAATAATTTTGTTGTGCTTTAAAATAAAATATTATCAAATTTAAATTTTAAATTATATATAAATAGAGATTGATAATAAGGCTTATGTCTCCCTTTTATTCTCATCTTTCTTTTTTATATTCCCCATTTCTTTCTCCTCCTCCTCCTCTCTTATTCTTCCTGTATTTTCTTCTTCTTCCCCTCCTATTTTTCCTCCTCATTCCTTTCGCTATCTTTCTCTGATTTCTTCTTCTTTCCCTTCTTTCATTTGCTCTGCGCAACAACAGTAAGCATTTCAAACTACATTCAACATCTTCCATTGAGGTTTAGGATGTGAGGGAAACTATATTTGCAATTCATGATTGGCAAGATTTCTCTATAAGAGACTTTAACTGTGACCCCTCTTGGCTGAAACAACTCTACAAATCTTTTGAGATAGTAGTCACCACATGAATCATGGCTGATTTCAAGTTAATTATTTTGTAATAAATTCAATATAGCATTTTCATAATTATGTGTGACTGTAAAGCATGATTTCCATCTCAATTTATTTCATGTAATTTTAGAATTGTTGTATATTAGTTATTTGATGAAATGCCACAAGAAGATACTTATGATTATTTTGTTCGTATTAAGGTTACGTGTGATTTTGCCTTAATTTTTTGATAATTTTGATCAAACACCATCTTGTATTTTTGCGATCATATTTGATATGTGAGTTTCATGTTGCCTTCCTCTTTGGTTGTTGTGGACAATTTATTGGTTAAACTTCTCCCCGATTTTGATGTCCATTTACAAATAAAATTTAAGTATGGTTCACTCTTTGATTTTTTTTTTTTTAAAATCCAATCACAGTGTGTTTATGTATACATATATATATTAGAGAAGATCCCTCAACATCATGTGAAAGTATCATGTATAAGATTTTCAAAGTTATCCTATATTTATTTCACTGGTTATTGATGGGAGTTGCGGAGTAACCTATAGAATTATGAAATGATTTAGGGCTCTATCAATTCCTAACAATGCTTAGGTTTTTTTAATATAAAAAATTACAAAAAATTACTTAATATGCGTTAGTATATATGTCGAATCAAGTAATATAGTGATAGAGTAGATCGTATTGACTCTACGAATAAGATATGCTTACTCATAAACACTACTACTGTATATAAAAATTACAATAATTATCCTACTCTATAAAAATAGATGTTGTGGATATTAAATCACTTAAATAAAGATAATGAATATATTATATGAATAGAAATTTTGGATTGATGAATGTAAATAACATATTTTCATAATGAATCTCGTTTCATATTTCATAGATCTCTATCGAGCTTATAGGAACAAAGGATATCCGTTGACTTCCTATAATTATATATTATCATTAAGAATTTAGTATATTTCATGCCCTATGCCTAGGTATGATGTATACTAATTCAATATTCCTGATTATGCATGCTTCCCTTTGTCGAGGCCCCACATTATATCTAATTTTAACTACATATATAGCTACTATGTGCATTAAATTAAAATCTTATGATATTGAAATATCTTTTTAATCATTTAAGAAATAAGAGAATTCATTAGTAATACATGTAATATTTACAATATTAATTCAAAACTAGAGAATTTAGCCAAACATAGTGTAGAATTGAAGCAAACTTATTTTCATTAATTGCATGATGGAAGAAAAATACAAGAGATAGATATCACCAGAATGGTTCAATGGATCTCCTCTATACTTATTTGATGTGAAACGTAAATGCCATTTACTTGCCTAGGTGGCAAGATTAATTAAATCCCAAATCAATTTGGGGAGAGTGAATGGAAATCTGAAATTAAATTTCAGATTAAGTGGAATTGGCGGGATGAATTTGAATTTAAATTCAAATTTAATGGG